ATTCTGTGTTACATTAAATACATACATATTTTCACATTTACTCTATTACTATGTTTTCCATTGAACAGCATAATTATGTGCTCATTCAAAATCTTACCTTTAGCTGTCCAATATGTTACCTTTAGCTGTCCAATATGTTACCTTTAGCTGTCCAATATGTTACCTGTAGCTGTCCAATAAGTAGATTATTTTGTGTACTTATTGGACAGCTACAGGTAACTTATTGGACGGCTACATGTGATGCCTATGATTTATGTTGGATATAGTACGCAGATAGCAATGAATGACATCACAGCTGTGTTTTAACTTCAGATATACGTCAACATAAATCTGTTTTTTGAAAAAGGTGTTTCCATAAATACTTGCATCGCATAATATAAATGGTAACGAAACTTTAACAGTTCGGAATAATAATCAAAAATACCGAAATAGTTTGAAAGATTGATTTACAACTCATACTACACAGGTGAAAATATGTAGACAAAGGTTTGTTTTGTCTTTGGATATGGTGAACAGCAGACAACCATTTTTTTATGATCGGGAAGGTAGACAACCAATATGTTATAACGGTGAACATTAGTCAGTCCGTGAGTTATAACGGTGAACATTAGTCAGTCCGTGTGTAATAATGGTGAACAGTCGTCAATCCGTGTGTAATATTGGTAAACAGTCGTCAGTCCGTGTGTTATAATGGTGAACATTCGTCAATTCGTCTGTAACAATCGAGATTCCGTATCTTAGTTTGACAGATAGTTGTATAAGGCAAAATGCTCTGTCTTCATCCATCACTAACGCAACGATTATAGATAGTAGACTGATAACGCTAGGAACAGCTACCTGAACACCAGAGCTTTAACAACAAATGTATTGGAAAGGGACTCAGTCTGCAAGAATCCATTTACATTGTTTTTGCTTTCCTACAACATCAATTTAAAAAGGAAATACACAATATTATTATCTAGCTTTGAGGATTCAGTATGATAAATTGGTTTTCGTCATTTTTTGACTCTAAGTTAAGATCTACTGAGAAGGGTTTTTATATTCAATTTCAAATATGCTATTCCAATGTCTTCCCTCATTAACAACTTGTTCGTTGTATTTGTCTTCCGTTAGTAATAACTTGTTCGCTGTATTTGTCTTGCGTTAATTATAACTTGTTTGCTGTATTTGTCTTGCGTTAGTTATAACGTGTTCGCTGTATTTGTCTTGAGTTAGTTATAACGTGTTCGCTGTATTTGTCTTGCGTTAGTAATAACTTGTTTGCTGTATTTGTCTTGCGTTAGTTATAACTTGTTTGCTGTATTTATCTTGCGTTAGTTATAACTTGTTCGCTGTATTTGTCTGTCATCAGATATAACTTGTTCGCTGTATTTGTCTTGAGTTAGTTATAACTTGTTCGCTGTATTTGTCTTGCGTTAGTTATAACTTGTTCGCTGTATTTGTCTGTCATTAGTTATAACTTGTTTGGTTTGTCTTTATTCTGCTAAGTATCTAAGTATCATGGTGAATATTTACATCACATCTGTTTCTGCGTATGCATGATATACTTGATAATGTAAAGAAGGTGATAGACAGGACTAGTGTTACTAAGGCGATACATGTAGACGGAGTAATGTAACTAAGGTGATATAGGTTAATATGACGTAGGTGATAGACAGGTTAATATGACGTAGGTGATAGACGGGTTAATATGACATAGGTGATAGACGGGTTAATATGACGACGGTGATAGACAGGTTAATATGACGTAGGTGATATACGAGTTAATATGACGTAGGTGATAGTCAGGTTAATATGACATAGGTGATAGACAGGTTAATATGACGTAGGTGATAGACGGGATAATATGACATAGGTGATAGACAGGTTAATACAGGCCAAGAAACTTATTTCACAAAATCAATAGTGCACAGAGATATCATTACCTTATCCTCCCTACCGGATATGAGCGTCTGACTTAACCAAGGATGAAATTGGATGGTGGAGTAAACAAATAAAACAAGCCATAGGCGCATCATTGTTTGCTCACTCTTACACCATTAATGGTCGATAGTTTGCACTTCACTCGTTGCTAGTGTGTTGTTAAGGAATTTATCATTGGATCAATGTTTATTGAGAATGCAATTTTGGGAAGAAGAAATCTTCTTTAATGCATAATCATGCTCCACTTATTTGTTTAAGTTGTAATGAAATGACTATATGCTCTAGGAGGAAGCATTATTTATTTTCTTAATTAATTTCGTATTCACCTCTTATTAATGAAACTTTAGTACAAAATTTGATTATTTTTCAGTGAACAGAAAAATATAATGTTCTTATAATCTTACAGACCTATATACGTTCGCTATTTAACCTTAGGCGCAAGCGCTGCGCTAGTGGTACAGAAATGCTTCATAAGCGCTACAGAAATGATACGCCAAGGGTACACCTCGACATGGAACAGTAAACGTCTACGGGTAAGTGAGTCTATGTCTATGTCTTGAAAAATGGGTCAAAGCTGTAATAATAACGGTAGCTTCACGAATAACACTGGATTCTTGAAAACGTATGTTTGTAGGATACGAATTATTTAGAATGTTATATATGGGGGAAGGAAGCAATTCTTACAGTGTAGACAATATGATGTTGTCAAATTTTCGGAGCAATCCTCTCCTTTATCTTATAAGTGTCTTGAAATATATATATATTTTTATATCATTGAGTAGTATTATGCATTAATATGCATGACTAAAATATGCATATGCATGATCTGTTCTTCAGTAGTCCGCCCCCTGCCTTCATACATATATATGTTGTTACGCTGTCTCGAGCATCAGTGTATCGACCAGCAGCGCTCACACGTCGCTCTAGATGACACACAACAGCAAGCTGTAGTACAGGCCCTCAGTGTGGCGGACGTCTCCGGACTTAGAGGAGCCGAACAGTATAATCCTACCTTTTCATGAATTTATCGTTAGGCGAGTATCTCGGGAAAGGTCTACTCGAAACAGACTCACAGCGCAAAATGGAAAGGGAGAGAGAAAAGCTGCAACGGAGCAGAATGGAGTTGTGCTTGTACAGGCGTGTTGTACAGGTATAGAGATGAGTGGGTATTTACTTAAACTCATATGTTTTGTTTAACATTGACAGGTTGTAATTATATGATTACCTGACGATATTTTATACCTTTCGTTTTTCGTATATGTGAAAATATTTGACTGATTTTTTAATTGTACAAATTAGATTAGAAATGGTTTTTTTTTTTATATTTAAGAAATATCAAACAACAATAACTAAATGTTTACTTTTTTGAAAGTCTTTGAGTTAAATGTTTTTGTTGTATAATGATCCGTTATATGAGTTTACTGCGACAATGACCTGCTTTTGATTGCCTTTCGTGTAAGTAAAATTGTACTTATCAATAGATCAGCTTCAATGGGACAGTAAGACTATTGAAACGTTAATATAGGGGTTTTGGCGAATGAAAAGATTTCATCTTGTTTCAAAATTTGAAGAAGAAAGCTTCGAGTTAACTTGTTTCGCGATTCACATTTTCGATGTGCCTCATCTTATATGTTTAAGACGTGTGAACCACGTCGCCTAAACTACCTAGAGACAGTATTACGTGTGTCTTTGTCTATATTTTATTGTCATACCTATTCGCGTTCTTGTGCTGTTAATGTCAATGTAGGAAGCGAACAGTCTATGCCAACCTGTCACAATATGTGCTTAATACCTTGTTCAAATTGTTACATTACGTTTAATATTAATAGGAAATACATTTTATAAGGTAGTAATTAGTTGTGTGTGCCACATGCATGTAAAAATGTTACGTTGTGTTACAATTTGCCTTATATATCTTTAACATTTACTTTCCGAGCAGATTCTTTTTTTTTCAAATAGACCCAAACTGGTTTCATTTTTTTTGACAACAGCTTTTAATTATTTTATTAAAAAAAGGTAATGTCCATCGAAGAAATATTATCGGCACTGTGGTTTGGTGGTCGTGAGTAACACACAACTGTTCGTTATTGATTTTATAGATATATATGATAAAAACAGAATATTGTTTTAATCGAGGTTTATCTCCCTTGCAACGGAATGTCAATGTATAAACAATTAAAATACACAACCTATTCAATATAAGTCTTATTTTCGTATAACTTCAAAATGAGATAGGAGTTGGCGAATTCACTAAAGCATATAATTAATCTTTAGAAAATCGAAATGAAGAAATGACAATTAAACAAACAAATCAAACAGTTAATGTACTAAATGGAAATCCCGTCTGTTTAGGAGTCTTAGGGTTAAACGAATGAAACGACATTTCTTAAAAGTTCCGAAATTTGTGTATAAATACATCAAAGGGTATAAGATGATGATAAACTGTTTCCTAACAATGTACATCTAAAAACTATATCAGTTGATGTATTTTTATATCATTTTTTCATGTAAACCGTATTAATTACATTCCAACTACAAATGTTTTGTTATGTCATATTCATAACATCTTTGCATAAATTTGTTCTTGTGATACCTAACAAACTGTTATTTAACTTGTCACATAGCGTCACCTCACAGAGGAGAGTCTTCGGTCGTGATTTACTGCTCTATGTACTACTACTGAAAATTGCAACTTAAGGTTTCTTGATTCATTTCTGAAAACAAAAGACACCTTTCACGAGTTTCATAAAAACATATTAGAAAAGTATCACGTGTATCAATAAAATGTAATCTGCAGCCGGGCTAGACAGAGATGACTTCAGATTGTTGTACAATGGTTCTCATCACCTGAGCTACATGGCTAAAGGCAAAATCTGATACATCTGTTTTTTACGGTTACATCTAAAACGAAATTAAGGGGAGGTCACTGCATATACATAATATCACAATACCATTGGACAGGGATCGCATAGAATGTTATTTTTCAGTTAGCATTGATATAAGTCAGTTTATTTAGATTCGATATGTTTTGTATAGAAGTTTTATATCAAATATAAACCAAACAATATAAGCAGTATTTTAAACTGATGTATTCATCAAGAAAAACTTAACAAAGTATTATACAAAAGACAAATACATAGATATGTTGAAAACGAGATGATTTTAAGTTAAAACAAAATATCAATAAAAACAGCATTAAACACAAAAGTCATTACATGCATTTATGGAAACGCTTCTATAAAATTTTCATTCGAGGGGAAGATATTTTCGTGAATCGTCGAATTCATATTTTCTTACCTAAATTCATGACTTAAACAACTGCTACTACAGAAAATTACACACTTCAATAGTTCATATTATTGTTAAATGGTTAAATATCACAGGGACATTCCACTGATATCAAGGTACATAAGAGTTACATAAAATATTTGAGATCAATTCGCGTTCTAGTCTTTCGATTGAATTGTTGCCTGGATATGGTTATATTGAAATTCAAACATATTTGAATTCATTTTTTCATGAATTTACACCCAACGAAATATTGCTCTTTTGATAAACCACGTAATTCAATTTCAATGAAACTAAATGATTCCTCAAAGATATGCCATACGGAATTTGGCTCCAATAATATAGCTAGCTGATAGAATGATGAACGTAGCACACAGAGAGGCAATCACACCTTTAAAATCGGATACAATGTACGAACATGAATTACACTGCTTTTTCATCCTTCTAATTATCATCGGTGGTGCTTGGGGTCAAACAATTGGAAAGTTCAAATAGATTTTATCTAAACCACTGAAAATGTATTAACAAAAGGGGAAGTGCTTTCAACCCTTAATAATTTTAATTAAATCAATATTCCATTATATAAATCTGGCTATAATACCACTAATTTTATCTTAATGAATTACATATGTAGCAAAATATGCTTACAATAACACTAATTTGATCTAAGTGAATTAGATAAATATAGATCTGTCGAAAATAACTAGTATATATAAAACAAACAACTGATACTACACAGAGCTAAATTGACAGGCTAACAAAAGCACGAATCGCATATCATGATGATGAAGAAGACAAGGAAGAAATAGAATAATTAACAATAAAATCTTGATTGTAAAAAAAAGTTTAAATGTCATGGTAATCCTCCAAATATACAATATTTTTTATATACATACAATTATTACATTTAATCATCTTTGTTCGAAGAAATATACATTGTGCATGTATCAAACGAATTTAAACAATAAGTCAAGCAATACAAACTGCCGTGTAAATAATATATGATGGAATGTTGAATGTACATGTAACGTATCAAATCAGACATTTGTTGTTCACGCTTCGTTGATCAAAGCCATAGTATGCCTCAGCAATGTTAATGTGTGTGTAGGGGGTGGAGGCGGGGTTGGGAAGGGAGTACTTTTGTCGAAGTGGCAAAAACCGAATCAAGACTGAGAACAGAAATCACTTCCTGTGCATTAACTGATTGGTGTGCTTTCATTAGAGAACGTATTTCAACAACATGATACTGTTTGAAACTTTCATCATGATTATTATACAAATCGATACAACTAACTTCTCATTACATTTTGTTTTTGGATAGATATGTGAACTTCGATAACAATGCAGACACTATCCTGTTAGAAAATTCAAACTCATTGCTTTCAGTTCTTAACATGTATTCATAAAACAATTTTCGAGATTAATTTGAAATGACATTAACAAGTAACTCAGATTATTTCATATGGTGTTACTCGGCAGCTGAACTACATTCTGGCACGGCTTGCATGAAACACTTCCGTAACATTAAATTATGTGTTGAGTCTAAAAGTTGTAAATTTTTAATGTTGTAATGGGGTTTGAAGGCGCCTTTCTCCTTCCTGTCCTAAATTAAAGAAATGGCCATTTGAATCAGTACGAATGTTTTTTGGCTCTCTGTTTCAATTTATTTTTAAATAGAGGCTTCATTAATTCGGAATGCTGGTGGTTGCTTTCTGTACCTAGTCTATTGTTTAATACCATTTCCATGTTAAATGCTGATTCTGTTGCTATGGTTACATCATTAGGAGTGTACCAACATAGATAAGAGGTGTGAGTATATAATATGATATTGAGGATCGGAAAGGCTTGATGAATATAGGCCTGCATTCTAGTTTATAGTATAGCTGAAGTTAATTATGTAACTGATATTGTATATATATAACCAATTAAAAGTAAGAAATATCTGTTAACAGCCGTTTATATGCAAACAAAAAATATAGTTAGATATTTACACCTGTGAAAAAACAATATACGTAAGAAACTGTCAATACTTGGAGTCTCAAATTAAGATTAAACAGGTGCATAAAACGCAGCAAGTCAAAGGATTGTTTAGAACACGGCAACACATTTAATAACCTATACTTAAATCAAGTATTTTTAAGATTTTTTTTTCTATTTCGTCTTTAATCATCATTAATTTCTATGATATTTATTTTTAAGATGTGTTTCATTATTCAATTGAGCATTCATTAGGACAAGTTCTTAGTGATATTAATTTATCCAATGACAGGTTTTTTTACCTTGGGAATAAATATCTGTTTTATGTCCTACATACAAAATTTGAGTTATTCGATGGGCTATCTAACTTAAATCTTGAAAACATATTTAAATTGTACAAATTCACATTTAAAAAAAAAAAACATTTTTAGTTGAACAAATTCATATCTGACATAACTGTTTTAACATACGTAATTTGAATGTAGACATTCATATCTCACATAACTGTTTCAACATATTTTTTTTTATAGTTTTACAAATTAATATCTGACTGAGCTTTTTAACATACATAATTTGAATGTAGACATTCATATCTCACATAACTGTTTCTACATATTTTTTTTTATAGTTTTACAAATTAATATCTGACTGAGCTTTTCAACCTACTAATTAACATCTACCATAGCTTTTGTACATAGTTGCTTTTAACAGCACAAATTCATATCTGACATATTTTTTACATGATTGTTGTTTAATGTACAAATTCTGATCTGAAATAACGTTTTTACATTGTGTACAAACACTGTTTTTGTTTTTAATTGTTCACATTCAAACCTGACTTATGTGCATAAATATATTTTATATTGTTCCAGTTCACTTCTGAGAGGTAGGATAATAAATATAACATTTTTACCAGCGACATGACAAAAGTTATATCTTTAACTACATCGTTTCATCTCTTTTTGATGGAGCTGTATAGGGACTATGTTTTCAGTTCCCAAATTACACACAGAACGTGGTGCCTCATTAGTGGCCATTGCTAAGGTACTTTTTGTACTCTAATGATAAAAATAGTATTTCATTGTATGACAATGAATTAAAGCAGAGTCTATTATATAATTTGTTTAGACACAAAAAAAAATCCCGTCATTAACTGTTCATTGTGTCACCAGGTACAGCGTGCTGCATTACAATAAGAACATATATGAACTTTGACATCTTTGTAACAGGTGATGTACATTTGTTATAAGTAAGGACAACCAAAACTAGTTTAATGATTTTCCGTTGAGTATCAAATATTTCACTCTTGTTTGACGATTTATAGGTAAAATTATTAACTTGTGTCTTACGAAAAAGAAATGATTTTTTTAAATAAAACACATGTCATAGAGTATGTTTTGACAAGAACCCATTATATATTTGAATAATAGAATATATTAAGAAAGATGTATAGGCTACATGTACACAACGTATAATTGTAGTTCAAAGTGATGCCCGTTTATCCCTCTGCCAGTTGATGAAGGAGTCGGTGTCCTCGGAGATATTACTTTCGGCATCCTTCGAGTATTCGTGACTGTCCATTCCCTTCTTTGCCTTAAATTTTCTACGCAGATGATTAGCCATGGGACTTGTCGAGTAGACCTTGTCAGTTGGTGACCTCCACTTATAGCACGAGCAAGAACATACAGAGAGAGTGTCCTCTACTATCGGTCCGATGGGCTGTTCTTGCAGGTTAGAGACTACTCCGTTATTTCCGGTTATGACGTCACCTTCAAGATGCACTGCATTTCGGGCCGCTACTGCAGCCTCTCTTTCGTCTCTAAGTTCGTCCGCTGTGTTCATCGTAAGAAACCGCAAAACCAGTAAATTCATGGCTGCCGAAATAACAGTTAAACCAAATAGAATGAATAAGATACTAAAAGCAAAGTAATGTGGTTTGCTCTGTACCATATTATCTTGTTGGAGCGCGACAAAGTCCCCGAAACCTATGGTCGTCAATGTGATAAAACTGTAGTAGAATGCGTCTACATAAGTCCAGCCTTCCACATGTGAAAACACCAGGGCACCACAGGTCAGTATTAAGGTGGATAAATTCATTGTTATAAATATTAAATCCGTTTGGGTTACCTCTTTGTTTTTCAACCGGAAGCATTTCTTGACTTGCCTTAATGCAAATGTCACAAAAGTGTTGAGTCTTTCACCGACGCTTTGGAACATGATCATACATAATGGAATTCCTGCCAGGGCATAGCACATACAAAAGAGTTTTCCGCCGATCGTTTTTGGTGTACTGTGGCCATAACCTAAAATAATAGAACTGCTATGTTATGCCATGGAAATATTGAATCATATACTACGCAGTGCATGATAAAGTGTACAACACGTGTAATGAATTAATGTATTAATATAGCTGATGCTGATATTAATCAATACCTCAAAGCGTTAGAAAACACCAAAATAAATATATTTTCATATTCGCATCAAAAATCCGTTGAATTTCTTTTGTTGCTGATGAAACATGGTTATTCAAAAATATAAAATCAATATAGAATGCATCTGAACTAAAAATAGCCTTTGTTGATAATAAACACAACTTACATATAGTTTCTTTTGATTTACATTTTTTTGTTAATTAAATTTTGTGGGCACTTTAAGATAATTACTTACCGATCGCTGCTACGACCACCAATGAAAGATACAGGGCACCTCCGAACTTCCACTGAGTGACTTCCTTGTAAGGACGGGACCAGATCACATTGTGTCGAATGGCTTTAAAATCCGAGTCAGAAATGTTATACCTTGTTAGAATTTCGTCTTCCTCCTCCAACAGTCGCCTCTTGTTCTCTAGTTCGTACTCAGACTCCAGGGCGTCAAACACAGCCGCCCCGATCAGGAGGTAAGTAAAGGTACACACGATCAGGGAGAGAGTCCGAACGTTCTGTCGCTTCATCTTCTGTTACCTAGGACAAGAAACTAAACTGCATGGTTCCAGTAGAGTCTAACAACAATGGATACATAACGTCTGTTGTTCGGATATCAGAATGGCTCAGTGTGACATGACCTATATATGTAGTCCTATAATGCTATTACAAGTAGTATCCCCTGTGTACTTATTGAATACGTTACAATAGTCAACAACAATCCTTGTCACTGATAATAACAAATCCTTCTCAAATACGAATGTGTGTCACTTGTGATATATATACACGCGAACAAGCATACTAAGTAAAATAATGTTAAAATATGATATAGTTCCTCTTTCTAGGAATGTAAACATCGAAATCCAAGATGGCGGCCCCCGATGTGTAGATGAGCAAAACCGTTAACCATGTGCGCTGCACGTTGAATATCAATCTCTGCATTCTTCAAAACCTGCAATTATTCTTAATCCTGGCAATGAATCACAGGCTTTAACCCTCACCCTTTGTTTAAAGTGATAGCTTGCCTTTACCGCGGCAGTGTGCAAGAGTGTCGTACGTGTTAATCCTGTCCAAGGCTATCTTGTGCTCGATCGATACCGGAAGTGTGTGTGTGTTACTCAACGTCACGTTGAATTTCGTCAAAAACATTAAATGCCACGGTGTAGCTACCAGTCCATAATCTTGCCTTGCTACAGTCTCCGGTTCGTAAACAATAGACATGCCCTCCCCCTGAAGTTGTACGCGTGGCTAGCCGTGTCTGGCTGGTTCCTTTATAAATATCTCGCTCTAGGAATTCACAACGACATTGTTTAGATTGTTTATACATGCGTGTAGTAAACACACGTGCAGCGCTGGTTAGCTATGCATATAGGACTCGTTCTAGATGTCTTTTGAGTTCACGTATAGTCGGGGGAAAAGATGTGCATTTTTAGTATGTATCCAAGATATTTATTAATACATATACTAATCCCAAGCCGAAGAGGAAATGTGATTTGTGAATAATTTATTATTAGCTTGCCGAGATGAGCTGTTCACTTTAAACTTTATACAATACATTATGGATGAGTTAAACCATCAACAGACTATAAGTCAATACCAAAATTGATAGCGAGGGCGATAACTGGTGTGTGCTGCCTTTTTGTGTGTTTAGAGTTTCACGATTCATTCGACGTCCTTGAACGTGTTGATGACACGTGTGCACGTGTACATGTGTTCTTTGATTAACAAAATACCTGTTTTACGTGTTTACTAATGCAATGTGTTGACGCATTTTCAACATATTTAGTATTACCCTCTTAACAAGGGACTAAGCCTCAGATATTAAAACTTGCCAATGCTTCTCACAAAGATAGTCGCACGATAACTATGGAATTTTGTACGATATCGGAACAAGCATATTTATTTACTATTACAATTAAAACCTTCAAATACATCTGATATCAAAGTATAACTCTATGTACTAACAATGTACTTATCACCATCCGTCATAGTTTGACAAACAGACCAGTCCGTCTGGAAACATTGCGACACGTTTAATACATGAACGTACATTGTTTGCGTGTAAAATTTAACTTTGATATCACATATTTAAAAACTGATGAGCTCTATTAAAGATACTACTATATCTGATACATCAATATACCTGTCTGTAGGTATTTGTGGCACTTACAATGCAGTGTGTTAGATGCTAAAATGTTTAAAAAAAGGCGGTTTACTAGAACACATTTACCACAACACGCGAGTCAGCAGCAAGTAGATTATTGTCATCAAACGTACACAAGAATAAAATCCGAGCTATAATTCGATATAACAAGACAGCATTCGGAACTATATAACACGACAGCATTCGGAATTATATAACAAGACAGCATTCGGAACAATACAACGAGACAGCATTCAGAACTATATAGCAAGACAGCATTCGGAACTATATAACACGACAGCATTCCAAACTATATAACAAGACAGCATTCGGAACTATATAACACGACAGCATTCGGAACTATATAACAAGACAGCATCCGGAACTATATAACAAGACAGCATTCGGAACTATATAACAAGACCATACTCGGAACTATATAACAAGACAGCTTTCGGAACTATATAACACGACAGCATTCTGAACTATATAACATGACAGTATTCGGAACTATATAACAAGACAGCATTCGGAACTCAGGACATGCCAAAACAAAAGGAAATTTATTATAGATTCTGAACAATAAAACGAGATGATCCGGATAAAACAAAACAAGGTGATCCGGATGTTCCAAGTCAATGTCGTTTCCTTAACATTATGTGGCACCTTTCAGATAGGTTTCCTTCAAATCAAAGACATGTATTCAATTAATTAATTAACATTATCATCGGGTGATGATATTATGGCGACGGTAAACGTATACGGCAGATTTATGTTTTGTATTTCTCCGTCTGCTGTCCTACGAAATAGTTTATGTTATGTGTAAACCTAAGGAAAGTGGAGGAATGAAACATAAAAGAAAAACTAGAGATAAATTCTGAGATATCAGAGAGTTTTAATCTTGATATAGTCTTAGTCTTAGTCTTGATAGTCTTAATATTGAGATAAGATAAATTGAATAACCAATCTGAACTTACTAAATTTCTGATTTGTCATTATTGAGGAATCACAATGGTTGGCATGTTTGACGGGAAATTCTGTATGAAAGATGATTGAGAAATTCCACATTTATTAGGTTGTAAAAGTCAACGGTTTTCCGGACAAGACTAAAAATACCTTAGTATAATAGCGCCAGTGTGTACTGCCTCCTGGATAGCCGAACTACAAGTAGACGTGGAGCCAGTAAAACACAATAAACAAACAGTACCTGTTTGGTAATATGTGTACGACGATCAGACCAATATATGTCATAGGGAATAGACGAAGCTCGGTATGAACAACAAAAGAATGCATTGTGTAAACTAAGCCATAATTCGAAAAGGAATGCCTTATACAGAGACACTTCAATTAGACCATGTGTTCCGGAGTGGACAGCGTTCTCTGCTTCATCAACGATACGATGTAAATCTAGTTCAAACCCAAATAATGTCTTTACCTCTTATCGAGAACTTTATTAATGACAAAAAAACACATCTACATGTACCTTCAGATAACACGAAGAAATATCAGTTATTACATTTTTGCCAGTGAAATATCCGACTCTATCAACTAGATAACTTTATAAAACTGAAATCTGTCATACTGTGACAAATATCAAAAGTGATATTTTCACAGTGTGAAAATATCACTTTTTGATATTGACCAATCATAACGTTATCTTCTATTTGCTGCATTCAAGGCAACGATTTTTTGTTCAGAATCAAATGAAGCGACAGTAAAATAAGCAATAATACCAGAAAATAGCAGAAAACGTCGGAATTTCGTTGAGTATCTCATTCAAAATGGCGCGCAGCCTTGTTGTCAAGTGTGACGTCATTAGGATATGGTTCTAATAATGAATCCGCCCTTTTTTAATGCATTACATTTTTTCATTTTTTATGCTTTAAAAATGTAATAAATAGAAAATTTAATGGTGTCTTCAGAAATAACAAATATATATTTTTATATTTTTCACGAGTGCGCAAGTAGGGTATCAGTGTTGACACAATTATATATAGTCATGGACAAAATGGTATACGGGTTGATGAACTAGACTCGATTCCCTAGGAAGGACAGCTTACGTACCTACATGAGGTGACAAAAGTCAGACAATGGGTTGTAATGGTCAATCGGCTTACCGCAAACGACCTCTGTCATGAAATAACTAGATACATGATCGGACACACGGCGAAACGGTCAAAGCATTCTTCGAATAGACTGAAACATATAAAATAGTACGATTTCTTTGTTTACACGATCTGACAGAGTGGGAGACACAACGCTAATCCCGCGGTGTATCGATCCGACACCTCGCCAGCTGGCCCCACAACCATACCGGGGACCCCCTTTGTTTGTCTTCCCGGGACGGATCGATGGGGACTACTGCAGTGGGTCGTCCGTTGTCTCCTATGGAGCTGTATCTGTGTCTGTTTAGTTTAAAGTATAACAATTGACGGAAATTACAAATGTGACATGGATTTGCGACGTTATAATGTAGAGTGCCACTTACGGTAAAGGGAACCATCAGGTTAAAGGTTGAACCATATTTCCACCATTGTCACTGTTATATTTGTTTGATCCTTTCAAATTAAAGTGAAAATTGTATGCTGGCATACATCTGATATAATTGTGGTTGGGTTAAACTTCGGACTTTTACATTGCAAAACTTACATTTTACAAATCTTGCCATAACAAACTATACAATACAGCACTAAATGAGTGACCAATTTATAAGTCGAACAGCATATGAAAACAATTGAGAGGTTACAGTTACAATTACTCTATGCCAGAAAATAATCCTTTTAGAGGCTTCATCTTCTATATAGAAGGGGGGAATACTCAAAGTAGTTTTTTGAAATTAAATTCAAAGTGGAACTCTATTTCGGGATTATAACTGAAGCATTGGTACTCTTTACCTTGGCTCTCTCTATTATTATTTCCTTTATTTCCTCCAAAAATGAAGAGTTACAGAAATAACGAACAATACACGTACAATTCGAAAACTATTGAAAGAGAATAAATTTATTTTTAATCGGTTGATAATCTTATTTTTTCTCTATTTACTTCCTTCACATGGACATTTAATCCTTTTTTATCATGCTAAACTAACAACTTACTACAGCTCTATAAATAGACAAACTCTTACTATATATAGACAAATTTCACTATATATAGACCAAACTTACTCTATATATACCAAACTTAACATTGATGTATATACATCGACCAAACTTTCTATATAAAGACCAATCGTACTATATATAGACAAATTTCACTGTATACATCGACCAAACTTTCTATATAAAGACCAATCGTACTATACATAGTCAAATTTCACTATTAATAGACCAAACTTTCTATATAAAGACCAGACGTACTACATATAGACGAAACTCACTATATATAGACAAAACTCACTATATATACATGTAGCTTTGAAAACAGACAAACACTCACTATATATAGATAAAACTTACTATATATATACCAAACTTGCTATTTATATGCCAAACCTACTACTGATATACATAGACCGAGCGTACCATATTTAGACAAAACTTACTATATATTGACCAAACTTATTAAATACAGACCCACCTTACTATATATAGTCCAAATTGTATATTGACTAAACTTGATATATAGTCAATACTAACAATTCAGTGTGATCAGAACGTTCGAGTGGTTTTGGGTTTGGAAAACTTTACGTTACTACATATTTATTGCTGAAAGTATATATCGTTATTTGTATATTCGCGTATTTCTTTCTCAAAGTCCGGATATTGTTTTCCAATATAAAATCGAAACTCATTCAATATCACCTCGTCGTATTCGGAACTGCACAGTACATGTGGATGTCAGCTAAACTATAACAAGGTTAACTTGTTGCCTACTCCGATGACGTACTGACGAGATCCTACAGAAGTCACCAACCCATACGGGGAAGACTTGACCTGACAATAAACAGAGTACAAAGAGTACAAGCTAACGTTCAGTTTGAAAAGCTCCGTTTCGGGGACGTAAAACATGGCAAAACACAGATGCTATTTTTAAAAAAAGGTGACTCGTACAAAGAAGGATTAGGATACTCGCTATAAGCCACGGAATCAATATACACTCTTTATATATACATATATTCAAGCTGCATATTTATTCTTTCTTGAGTCAATTAAATAAGGATGGGTTTG